TGTCGGTGTGAAGATCATAACCATTTAAAACATGTCTCCCAAACCCCTCATCACGTCCTAAAGTGCCTGATGATGGCAGGGAGCGGGACCCCACAAATGGTATTGGGCTTTTCCATGCAAATAAATGAAGGCAATAACTGATGAAAAAGAGGCGCTCCATAAGCCAACGCCGCCAAATTTGCCAAAGTGTCTCAAAATAAAAGCCCACAGAAACGTGGGGTTCAACTCCATAACTGCCGCTTTTTTGTTATTATTTGCTATTATTGTTATAATATTTGCTATTGTTCTTATTATATTTGCTATTACTCTTACTATATTTGTTATTATTCTTATTATATTTGTTACTATTCTTATTATATTTGCTATTACCCTTATTATATTTGCTATTACTCTTATTACATTTTCTAATATTGTTATTATAAACGCTAATATTTGCAGTGCCACATCATCTGTGCTGAGATCCGTGCTGGTACGTGTCGAGTACTACGATAAACAAAATTGCTGCATTTTCGATATAATCTTTCGTTATACAAATAATAAAGTAGATTGCAACAAGTAACTTTTCATTTAGTTACGTTTTTCATTGCTATTCGTATTTATTACATCCTATTTTATCTATTTAGGGTTGCATATTCTTTTTCATCGATTTATTTTAACCTTTTCGCGGGTAAGCATAAAAATATTCAGAAATAAAAGTTTCTGTAACATCCAAGAGAAAATCTGAACAATCATAAGATATATTTACTCGTAAGAGTTTCGTTAATTTGGCATATCGAAGGTACAAATCGAAGTCGAAGAAACAATTAAGTACGGTAGCTACTCAGAAAACATTTGAAATAATTCAAATTTAAACATTCGAATATAAACAGTTACTTACTACCTTTATTCCAATTCAATTTCATTTAGTAATTGAAAAGACATCGCTACTTCCGTCTTTTTAAATAATACGGAAAGACCCTCAATATCATTGCCCGAGTCAAAACTGTCATTTAAATGCTCGTATTTTAATTCATGGGCATGGTAGATGACGATGGTCTGATAATATGCGGACGTATGATAACGTAGCCTCAGTCACAGAGCTGGGGCCTTGGGTGGGTTAACAGGGTAAACTGCACCTTTGTGCGGATGTGTCCAGAGTATGTACAGTGTTATTCACGGAGACTTCCTAATTTGATTGCTCAATAAAAAAATAACTAGTATATATATATCATTACAATATAAATTTTATTTTATAGAAAAAGACATTACTGAATTTTTGTATCACTAGCTTGGTTTTGAAGACGACATCGGACATGCGACGATGACATCTCGTCAATTCATTCAGTTAGTCCATTTTTGAAGATCCGTTTTACTAACTGAAGCATATTGACGGGTATGTTGGCGATGGTTTGGCGTATGTTGTTCTTCATATCAGGTAAAGTCCTTGGACAGTCATTGTAAACAATTGATTTAAGATAACCCCATAAAAAATCACACGGAGCCAATAGGGGAATCTGGCCGGCCAAAGAAAGTCAGCTTTCAAGGAGCTGTTTTTTCTGAAAGCTTTTTTCTGAAAGGAGGAGCTTTTTTCTGAAAAATGTTGTCTCTGACGGAGATAACTCTGCAAAACGACCATTAAAAAAGTACGCCTCGACAGAAAACGCACGTTGCTCACTTGTCCAATGCATAGTGGCAAGCTAAATAGGCTGGAAACCAAACTCCATGCCCTTGCTCATGCCGTTTTTCTAAATCATTTTGCTGCTTGGCGTGAAATAAAAAACAAAAAGTTTACGCAAATCACCCTGTAGTTTATCATGAAGTCCTAAACATGTTTTACAGCTTTTTTGCTGCACAAATGCAAGACTATTTCATCGAAAAGCATTGTTATGTCTCTGGTTATAAACATTTCCCGCATGGTCGCGCAGAGACAAATATAACACCAGGCTTAACAAATATAAGCCAGAGATGGCGCGCGACAAGCCATCTCTGTGACAGCTCCTGGTCCCTAGCGATCAAAATGAGCAAGAATCTCGGCCAATCAAGCCTAACGAAGCCGTTCGTGTCTTGCCGTCTATATATATAAACACGACGTATATTTCTTTTAGTGAAATGATCGGCGTGGCAATATTGAGAATAATGTTATCGTTGAGTGAACTATGGCCGACGGTCGGCCGTCTCTGATTTGTGTCGTATTTCTATAAGGTCCAAAAAAGGCAACCAAAGATGCCACGTTGACGCCGCATCATAGACCGTCTTGTCCTCCTCAGGGACGGTTACGGTGGCCATGGACGGCAAATGTTGACCCAATTGCGAGAAACACCGAATCTTTACCCTGATATTGAGCTGGCCTGCTGACACCGTCTACGTTCCTACCCCGATATTGAGCTGGCCTGCTGACACCGTCTACGTTCCTACCCCGATATTGAGCTGGCCTGCTGACGCCGTCTACGTTCTTACCTGAAAATTGAGCGCAATCCCGGAAAAAATTGGAATTTAATCTCATGGAGAAAAAATCTTCGTAATCGATTGAACTCGAATTAAATTGTCTGGAAACGTAAAAGTTTTTATTTACATAAGTGTTTCTTATATTTCAGGTGAACTCTTACGCCCTATTTTTTTAGAAAAACTCAATCACAGTTTTTTCTAGACCAACTCAAGAACACCTGAATTATTTTTAGAGATTTAGAAGAAAAATAAAACATTTTAATCATGTTTTGATTCACTAACGGGGCAAAACTATAAGTAAGAAAATTTCAATACTATCGTCATTGCAGTAAACTAAGTTTCAGACACCGGGTCACTATACTCATGTTTCAATACAGGGTATAGATTTCAAGTGATAATAAATTTTTCAACATTGCGTCGTGAAATTCATGTACGTGTATATTTCGTAGTAATTCCTTTACTCGCGCAAAGGTTGCGCATTGCGTCGCAATATACGCGTCTAATGACCACGATGTTCTGCATCGTGTCGGGATATTCTAGTATAATTGCAGGGCTGCAGGAAACAATAGAGCTACATGCAGCATCAGCCGCTGTAGTAACTCACGGTTCACAACTGTCCATTACTGCCCGGTGATCAGACGACCAAGGTCTCTGGGGCGATTCTTGTAATCATGAGCTGTCCTCTGTAAAAACTTGATGATGACAGATGAAGCGCATCCTATAGGACCAAGCTGCCTTTGACGGCTGATGGATTCCTCCGCCATTGGACGTACGTCTTGATGGATGAGAGGAAGGGTGGTGGATTGCCGCCCTTTCAATGCAGCCATGAGAGGCGGTCTGGTCTCACTGACTTGAATCTTCTGCGTGCTGGGCATGGATGTATATTTGTCATGGCATGGATGTATATTGGTCATGCGATGGATGTATATTGGTCAGGCGATGGATGTATATTAGTCATGCGACGGATGTATATTGGTCATGCGATGGATGTATATTGGTCATGCGACAGATGTATATTGGTCATGCGATGGATGTATATTGGTCATGCCATGGATGTATTGGTCATGCGAGGGGTGCAAATAATTCTAGTTTGACGTTCATGATGGCTGATGAAACTCTTCTAAGTGAATTTTATTTATAGGAAACACGGAAACGAAATTTTCTTATTTCTCCTCAGTTTTTGTGCGACTAAGAGTTCAAGCCGTGATTAATTTAGATTTCAGTTGAGAAATGCACAAAAAATTTCAAACTTTGGTTGTCACAGATGTTTCCCATTCCATGTTGATAACGGCATTTATCACGTCCGATTGTTGTACATGTTGTAATTGTTCACGATTACAAGCCTTTTTAGAGCTTTTCAGGATTTAACTAGTGATACATTTAAAGAAAGGAACTTTCAATAATCGATGCCGTTGTCGTAGTAAACAGAACTGTTATGTCGTTTCACAAATCAGCTATTTCGATAACTGTCATATATATATGGCTGTTAAAAAATTGTATGCAAATTGGTAATGTACACAAATTTATCATCATCAAAGCAATACCGCTTTAATCAAGAGCAGCTGGTATTAATTGGTGCACCGATGATGTGAAGGTGTGATGTGCAGAGATGACGCGAAGAGGTTATGTACAGAGATGAAGTGTAGAGATGTGTAGAGGTGACGTGTTGAGGCATCGATGACGTGTAAAGGTGACGTGTTGATGTTATGTACAGAGATGAAGTGTAGAGATTACGTGATGGGATGACACGTAGAGACGTGTAGAGGTGACGTGTTGAGGCAGCGATGACGTGTAAAGGTGACGTGTTGATGTTATGTGCAGAGATGAAGTATAGAGATTACGTGATGGGATGACACGTAGAGATGTGTAGAGGTGACGTGTTGAGGTATCAACGAGGATTCGTGTGTGGAGAAGGACGTCGCTGAGTGCAGCGTCGTCAGGTGATGGAGTTGATGACGCGCGTGTGTGGTCGGCCGGGCGAGTGAGCGTCGCTGAGCTCGACGTCGCGCTGCGGGTAACCCGCGCTTGCTGCTCCTTCCCCACGTGAGTGGGGTGAGTGGTATGAGTGGGATGAGTGGTAAGAGTGGGGTGAGTGGGGTGAGGGATATGAGTGGGGTGAGTGTGAGTGGGGTGAGGGGTAAGAGTGGGGTGAGTGGTATAAGTGGAGTGAGTGGGGTGAGGGATATGAGTGGGTGAGTGGGGTGAGTGGGGTGAGTGGTAAGAGTGGGTGAGTGGGGTGAATGGTAAGAGTGGGGTGAGTTGTAAGAGTGGGTTGAGTGGTAAGAGTGGGGGTGAATGGTATGAGTGGGGTCATGATCATATCTGGATTGGCATGAATGAAAGCATTGTCAATATTGCAGCTAAATTCATTACTACGCTGCTGGTAGTTTATTCAAGCGTTAGATTTTTCCTGCGTTTGTTTGAGAAAAATGTATTATTTGTTATTCACCTACGTAAATAATGCAGAAAGTACCTATGGGTAATAATAATACTAATTTATGAGTATGAGTAATTTAAAGTTAATAATAGTTATTATTATTACTTGTAAATAACGTCTTGTGATTGGTCTTCCCCAGGGGAGGAGGAGGCGCGTCTGGCTGGTCAGCTGCGCAACGGTGGGGACGTTGGGGAACTAGACAGCCCCAGCTCTAGCCCTAGACACAGACGGTCAGTTCACTACGCTTGTATAATAAATTATGATGATAAATAATTAGTTATAAATGTCATAGATTAATGAGGTCACAAACCATGACATACCGAAATTTTTCAAAGTGAATATTTTTTATCTGATGATATTAGCTTTTAACTTACTAATAGTTGTTTTGCAAAATTTTATTGTAACGCTATGTGCAACGGTTTAATTGAGTGACTTGTATGTATAATAATAGACTATCGCCTTCGTAGTAGGTCTTCATATTAAGTTGAGTGGTATTAATCACATAATAATAATCAAACAGTTCCACGTTCAGTCACCCTGCCATCCACTAAAGCATATGTAATTTATAGAGCGACATGGTTTTATATTAAACCCACTCTATTCTTCTATAAAAATAATGTATTATATAGAACGTCAATTGTTGAAGAAATAATAAACGGAATATTCGTGTAAGGAAATTTGAAATTTTTCAAAAAATTTTCAGATTATGTATACCAAAAATAATCCAAAAATGACTAGCGATATGTCAACATAAATATTACCTGCAAAATTCATATTTGGATTTTTGATTGCTGAACGGAATAAGCTGAATTATAAATCACGAAGTTTGTTTTCTTTCTCCTTGCAGAAGCAGTGGCAGCGCTGCATCAAGAGATGGTATGTCACCCCGAGCGTCACCTCGGGAAAGCCTAACACCCTCACCCATGGATCGATCACCCAGAAATTCCCCGGTCCCCGCGATCGGGTCAGACTCAGATGCAGATTTTAACGACTTTCACTTCAGAAGATCACCATCATCGATGACTCATGAAGATCTTCTAGCACTCACCGGCAAACTATCGTGTAGAATGTCTCCTAGTTCAGGTCTAAAACTCGGAGAGTCCCCTTTAGATTTGTCGGTGCCTAGAAAGCGGGCTGCTGATGCACTACTAGAGGCTGCCCATGCGCAAAGCAAAATTGCGATGGACATGAGCAGACTAGGGGCTTGGGGGTTACCGCTGCCTCCTCATCTAGCATCAGCAATGGCTATGCGACCAGACTTAGCTGGTCCCGGGTTCAAACCAGATTTCAGTCTTTGGAATGGCAAATCTAAGGCAGATGTAACAAAACTTTCTCCTTTTCCACTTGGTATCCCTGCTCCTTCACCCACTGAGGCTTCTAAAGCCTTAGAGAGAATGAGTGAGCTGAGTCGTCGAGGCGCTGAAGGCAGCTTGTCGACTGCGGCATCAGCAGATTTCTTCCGCGCTGGAATGGGCGGACTGAACGCAATGGGGAACATGGCAGGTGGAGGAGGTTCATCTGGAGCACGTGCGAACGCCTGGCAAAGTCATTGGTTGTCTAAAGGACAGGATGCTACGCGAGATGTTCTAAAATGCGTCTGGTGCAAAGCATCCTTTTCTACACTTGCTGACTTGACAACTCACATGAAGGAAGCTAAGCACTGTGGTGTGGCCTTGCCACCACCATCATCAAACATGCCTCCATCAATGCCTCCCAATAGAATGGGATCCAGCAAACCACCATCTTCTTCTCCTGGCGCGGGAGGATCTTCTTCTAACGATTTGATTTCTAATATCAAGGAAACAATGCCGCTACCTAGAAAACTTGTCCGCGGACAGGACGTCTGGTTAGGAAAAGGAGCTGAGCAAACAAAACAAATTCTCAAATGTATGTGGTGCGGTCAAAGCTTCAAATCCCTTGCAGAAATGACGCGCCATATGCAGCAAACACAACATTATACAAATATCATATCGCAAGAGCAAATAATATCGTGGAAATCACCCGAAGATAAGGCCACTAGTCAAACGCATGTCAATGCAGTCCTGACATGTAAGGTTTGCGACCAAGCCTTTTCTTCGTTGAAGGAACTTAGTACACACATGGTAAAGTTGGCTCATTATAAAGAACACATCATGCGCTCCATTACCGAGTCTGGGTCTCGGCGTCGTCAAACACGAGAGAAGAGGAAGAAATCTCTTCCGGTGAGAAAACTTTTGGAATTAGAAAGAGCACAACAAGACATGAAGATGTCGGACGGTGGGGTTAGGTCTAGAGACTCTCCTGGAAGAATAACTTGCGAGAAATGCGGCGATAAAATAGATACCACTCAATTTGTCGACCATATCCGGAACTGCGTTGGTGGAAGTAATCGTGACGAATCCATGAAGATATCCATGTTGTCTCCTGAATCAGATTTTGGTTCAAGATTCGATCAATCGCGTGATTCAGATAGTGAGGATAAGAAAACTCCGGACAAAAGTAGCAGAGAAAGCCCAAGGGAGATGGAAATCGAACGAGAGAAGAAAGAAGAAGTGAAGCAGCCATCAGTCCTGAACGCTCTTGAAAAGTTGATCGAAAAAAGTTTCGATACCAGGAAGTCAAAGCCGGGGAGTAGCAGCCCCCTAGGGTCGAGCATCCTCCGACGCTTGGGCATAGACGAGAGCACTGATTATTCAAAACCACTCATGGAACCCCACCTCATGTACTCGGCGTTTTCCCGTCTGCACGGAGGACCGCCAACGCCCGGATCGTCTTCTTTCAATCTCCCTCCGACATTTGGTCCTGATAGAGGATACATGAGATGCCCTGACCCCGTTATCAGCCCCAGTGCAGACTCAGATACCCACGATACATACCCTAGGTCACCACTGAGGCCTGGATCCCGACCGGCATCTGCAGGGTCACTCACTAGGGATGGTAGCGACAGATCCTTAGACATGCTGCGCCATGACCGAACTTCTCTGCTACTCGAACAGTCGATCCACACAGAAAATGGAACAGACCATTCAGACATGGAACGCGACAGTCCAGCTTCCAGAGATGAGTACCCTAATCCTGATGACATTAGGGCTCGACTTGGTATTAGTTTGAATACTGATTTTCGTAGCCTCGATAGCTCATTAGTGAAAGATGTGTATAGGTCTGAAGATCGAAATAATTCCCCTAACAGTATCGATTTCAATGATAAATCTGACATCAAGCAGGAATTATCCATGACGAACGGCGAAGACTTGGATTTGGATAACCGCAAGGAGGAGATTAGAGTGAGGAACGATATTCAAATTAAGGACGTCAACCTAAACATCAAGAAAGAAGAGAGCAGCGGCAATTTTCACCACGTCAAGGAAGAAATTCGTGTAAAAGAAGAGCTGCGGGTGCGGGACGAGTTCCGGGAGCGAGCTGACGACCACGACGTGCGCGGTTCACCCATGAGTCGTCTGACGGGAACGTCCCCCGCGGTCAGCAGCAGGTCTGGAACTCCTCACTCTGATGCTGGGAGTGTTCGAGTCCCCTCAACTGGGGGACTTGGGGCTCTTGCTGGGCTTTTGGGTGCTGCAGGAGGGGGCGGAGGAGGAACAGGATCCGCACATCCTCTAGCAGCTCTTCAGAAACTCTGTGATAAGGCTGAGAACTCATCGCGCCAGCCATCGACAAGCAATGCTCAACAAGTTAATCCAGGTTCGATAATTGCTTTCACTTGGGCTTGCAATGATGCAGTAACAGCTGAAAATAACATGAAATGCGCTTTTTGTGACGTACCGTTTGTTAGTAAGGGTGCTTATCGGCACCATCTCTCCAAAATGCACTTTGTAAAGGATGGTATTATTTCAGATGGATCCTCAATGAAACAAAACCATGGTTCATCCAGCGGTGGCAATGGTGGTGCCGCTGGCAACATGTCGTCCCATCATCCCAATGGTAACAACAACAATAGTAATACTAGTAACATGAATGGCGGTGAAAGGAAGCATAACCATTCCTCGTCTTCGCCCGCACCTCCCCAAGATGATTCCCCCCACTCGAAGTTCCTCAAGTATACGGAGTTAGCCAAACAACTCTCTAGCAAGTAAACTTATAGTTATAGCCTTTTCCCTTCGTAATTCATTCTACTTAGCGTTCAAGGCTTAATTGTTGAGACTGACCAAGTGAGGAAATGAACGTTCTGTTGCTCTAGAGTGTTCTTTCCTACTCGTAGCTCTCAAAATAAGAGCCATTTTGCTTAAGGCATTTTTCTTATAAACGTTAACTAGATAGGCTGATCATCACTACATTGTTAGTTGTGTAACCTCTAGATTGAAAAAAATGTATATCTTCTATGGTGCTGGTTATACCAGTGTGCTCATCATATCAATGGCGACGATACGGTAAATATTTCGTCTCTGGACTCTATACTTTCTGTGCCAAGAATCAAAACAAAGTATTAGTGAATGTATCTTTTGTACAGTACAAATCGTAAGTAGCCTTTAACTGTGCACAGAAGTTAGCTACAAAGATGTTAACATGAACATTTCACACTGAAGTGTGCAGTATTTGCCAAGTATTTGCTGCCATCGATGCGCGTTGTTGGGTAGTAAATCCAACATAATTTGATGTGGTTGTGTGAAATAATTTTTGCCAGTCGTGAACTGCTCAGAAAATAACTACTGAAAATAAACCTGTACAGGTTTAGCATCAAAGTTTCGGCCGTTAAGCAACACGGATTACGTACAGTGCGAGGATATAACATTGATGGCTTGACAAGATTTCCCAACATCCGCAATGTTGAGTGTGGTCTGAACATAGTTTCAACATTTTCCAACATCCGCAATGTTGAGTGTGGTCCGAACATGGTTCCAAACGTCAGATGTAGCGTGACTGTGCTTGCGAGGCTCACAAATGGAGTAGTTATCTTCAATTACACATATTAGCTATGCGAATTTTATTATTAAGAAATTGTATATTACAAATTTTTGGTTTTAAACAATGATCAAAATATTAGTTGTTGCCGTTTTGTCGTATATCTTCTGTTACTTTTAATATTATGGCTCTGTACTTTAATATTCATGATCTCAAAAATTGTTTTTTTTCTTTTTGATCCTGATTTTTGGAGCTTAATTTACCTCGTTGTTTCATCGCATTTATATTATAATTGTGATAAAATTTTCAAAAAATTATAAAATTCATCAATACTGAATTTATTTTTTAATGCCTTCGTTCATTACTTATTTTATTAAGTTATTAATTATCTTGAGACCAGGGCCCATGAGCTGTTAAATATATGTTGCGCAAACGTGTATATAGAATCTATAAGAAATACATTTACCTTCGTACAACGTTGAACATTCTACTATGAAAACTAGTCATAGGAGTATTTAAAAGTTCACCCATGTTAATAACGAGGTGACTTGTCTTGATTTCATTAACCCTCAAACATGGCAAACACTAGCAATATTGACATCCGTTTTCACATTCATGTTTAACGCGAATTATATACCATGTGCACAATTTTCGACACTAACTTAGCACAAGAATAAAAAAGAACACATTTTCATCGGGGTTGGGATATCCTAGGATGCATTTTATTAAGCGGTCATTTATTACTGAAGCTTCTGGGTGGAATTGACTCATTTAGAATAATAAATAACTGCCAACGATTCCGAAATTTTCTTAAGCTCTTCAAATAAACTTTTCTTTTTTTATTTCTAAACATTTCGATACTTATTAAGGATTTAAACTTTTGAAAGAGTACAGCCTATTGAACGATTTGAAGCCCAAAATTTAATACAAGATTGTAGTTCACTTCACGAGTCCACAACAAATACTGTTTACAAAGAGTTCGAGAACTGGTTCCGCTGATGCTTATAAAAGTATTAAATTTCAGCAAGAACTTAATTCAATATACGCCCCAGCTATCGACATACACCGCTCAAGAATAATCCATATTCGCCTTTTGCTCAAAAATCACTTTTTTACCTCTACATACCTTTAAAAATACTTGATCTGTACTTCTACATACCTCTTATATAAACCCTTCGGTAACTCTACAAGTCAACATACTTCTAAAAAAATTCATACCGCTTCGTACCTCTCAAAAGCCACTTTGGTTCCTTTATGTACCTCTAAAAACACGTTGGTACCTCCACGTACCTCTCAAAAACAACTTTGGTACTCATAGGTACCTCCCAGAAACCGTTGTATACGCTGTATATGAGCTGTGTTGATATACCTACTCGCCATGAGAACGCTTTTCGTTCGTTGCTCGGGCGCTTTTGTACTTACGAACTCCCTTTCTTTCTCCTCATTAGTGTTACGCAAATTTGTAGATCTTAGGTGACATCCTTCTCTTGTTATTCCTAAGCTTACCTAATATCTGAGCGTAACATGCAACTGTGGGCGTATGTAACCTCATCTTGTAGTCGAGCAGCTCAGTTCATGAGCACATTTTCGGTCGACCAGCAATAAAAATTCACCTCAAGATCGCCATGAATTTGAAGAGATTGGTATTATCGTCGGCAATATCGTGTCCACTGTTACAATGGATTATGGCTCAAGCGTGGCCCCCTGGTCACGTTGGACCGTCAAAGGTAAGATCTGCGAAGTTAAATTTCGCAGATGGATAATCATCCCGAAACTAGAATTTGTCATTATTGCACATTTACCATAATTCTGAAAAGTTTCTTTGCATATATGTCCGAATTTTCCAGATGCTTCGGAATCATTTTGTATAATTGTTGGGTGATCACAGTTATTTGTTATGGAAATTGTTCTTCGTATTTGTGTAATGGTCATCGACGCATAATAACAATGTCTTTCTATAGGAAGAATAAAACGTATCACGCGAGACCGCTATCAAGCTCAAATTACGTTGTATTAGAATGAAATTGGAAGAAAATTGCCCACCAACCATTTCAAATCCATTTCAGTTTATTGCTCCTAAATTCATCACAAATGAAAAATTATTTTCTCTTGCTTGATCGCATTTGTAATCATCGTAGAAATGTTGATCGAAGCTGCACTGGTAATGCGGTTACCTGGTCACCAGTTACTTCTTCACGCAGTAGTTGACATATAAGTCAACTTTAATACTCAAGTCTGAATTATCATATATCAGAAATGTGGCGCACGGATATAGGTATTCATTGCAATATAGCAGTTAGTAGAGCTCCTATGAAACACTTGTTAAATGTTTATAATGACTATTAAGTGACTGAGTATACGATGCTTCTAGCACAAACGACAATGGTATATGATATACGCCTATTTCACCCCGCCCCCCTTGGATAGCAACATAGAATATATGTTATCGCACCACTAACCGAAGTGCGCTAATTCTCTCATGATGCATTTTGCTGTAAATTAAAGCAAATGAATAAATTGTATGCCAATTGACACTTCAAAGGCAACTGGCCATTTATAAAAATGGAAAAAAGGAGGTCCAGCTGGCACCTTATCTGTTTCTATTGTTAATGTGAATGAGTTCTCGCTCCTTCACGGCAAATATACATCATTCATAATAACTTTTAGTCATAACAGTGACTGCAAGTTGTATACTAAACTGCGCTAAACTTAAATCATTTGTTTTGTTTGCCTTAATTAAATACATCGTTTTTTACATTTTCCTATATACTGTACTTTTATAAGCTCTAGTTTCAGTTTCCGTCATTTATTCTGTTTCCGTATATCATATGGTATTTATTTCAATCTTTAAATATTCAATATATCTGTAATATTCTTATAAGTTTTAAAAAATTATGTGCAAGAGGTAAACATAAATACAACTGCTATATTTCTAGACAAAAATTCTCTTGGAATTTTGTTATTGATCAATTTCACTCATGGAACGGGCAAAAACATTTTGAATTAACAAAATCTCAATGAATTTCAAAAATTATTAATGCAAAAATGGACTCCTCAACATAATAGACTATTCGTTATATTCCTGCTTCAACCTCTATTATAACTTCCATATTAGCGAAATTTTTATTAATTTTCAATCTATTTGGAAGATTAGAAAACAATTTTGGGGGCTAAATGGTAAAACGTTCAAAATCGAAGATGCAAAAAAGCAACATATTAATATGAATTGAATTATTGTAAAGTTATAAAATTGTGATTTTTTCGAGTGACGGGAAACTATATAATATATTCCATTTAGCTGGTTAAATTACGAAATTTAATTTTTTATAAAGTCAATGTATCATTTTTAACATGATGGCATGAACTTTTACCTGTTATATGTACTTCGGTTTCTTCTTTCGCTCGATATATTGCACATTATTACTGAATCTCCTCTACAATTTAAGTCCCCTTTGTTGCAGCTACAAATCAATGTTATTGTTAACAAATATCTTTCTGCAAACTCTTGTGAATATTACAGATTTGTTTCGTACATTATAACAAACAAATTATTGAGTGTCACAATAAATGTCGCGACTACATATGCTGCAGAATCAACCTTCCATGTGATAAGTGTTATTCCGATTCTTCTTTTACGGTTGAATTTGTATATTTGTTTGTAAACCTACTATCAATTTACTGATAAGTGCAGTAAAATCTGTATATTTCTTATCGTCAGCGCTGAAGGTAGATGAATGCGTCTTATCACATTATCTTCAAACTTTCATCTCATTATGTAAGTCATTTGCCAAGCAGTGATCCAACTTAGAATGTTAAGGCTCTTTAGTTACGAATTTATTCAAATGATCATTAGAGCCATCATGTATCATAAAACATCGTTTACTCTGATATTTCTCCCTATGGATCTTCCAAGTGTAAAGAAATAAAGAGTCCTTCAATGCGTTATTTTATTTTACCCCATTGCCTTTTGGCGTATTTTTATATTCTTTAGAGAAGATTAAGAAACATTTAAATGTAAAAGCTTTTGTTTTGACTCTTAACTGATTCAACTCTGAAAACTTCAGTTTTGCATGAAAAAGAAATTAAGAGACGATGAAGGAGATTTCAAAATCCTAAATATTACCAGAGATAATTTTCAATTAAAGAATAATAAAAGAATAATATAGAAGAATCCAATAGAACAATAAAGAAGCTACACGATTATTTGTTGTGAAAAAAATTGTGATATTATACGAAAATTTTCAAGCAACCAAGAATAGAGTGAAGTGCAGACGAAATAATCTTCGCTAGACCAGAATATATATGTTATCGGGCAAAGATTTTTCAACGTCAAGCTTGTTTAAAATGAGAGTCTCAGTCATGGTGCCAATGATTAGGTGATGGAATATGCGTATGTTTTTCTACACGTGAAAATATTTGTTTCAAACTGAAACTTTTGTCCCCAACATCTTAATGGCCAATATTACATCCACTGCAATTTTCAAGTTTTGCAACAGACTTTTGCACAAGATTGCTAGGTTTTTATGAGTCAATAGTTCAGATGATGCCGATGATAGTGTTCCAGTAATGATGCCGATGGTAATGTGCATAGAAGAATACCTCAATATAGTGATGCCGATGTTGATACGCAGAGAAAAGTACGCCAGTAATGATGCCGATGGTAATACGCATTGAAGAATACGTCAGTAATGATACCGATTGTGAACTGAGTCTTGGGTTTGATTTTATTCTGAGGTTTAAATTAGATTCCCCGGATGTATACGAGCCGAAATCGAGATCGGATTTCGGCCGTCCATAATACGCTGATAATTGTATCGACTAATGAAGCGACTAACTAGAAAGAGGGAATTCAGCCCTTCGACCAGGAGGCGGCCACCTATAACACGCCCATGGTTTTGACCATGTCAGCGTATGGCCGAGGAAGCTAATACACTACATGGTCCTCACAATACGCTACATGGTCATCACAATACACTAAACGGTCCTCACAATACACTACATGGTCCTCACAGTACACTCCACGTTCCTCACAATACACTACATGGTCCTCAAAATACACTGCATGGTCCTCACAATACACCATATGGTCCTCACAATACACTACATGGTCCTCACAATACACCACATAGTCCTCACAATACACTCCACGTTCCTCACAATACACTACACGGTCCTCACAATACACTACATGGTCCTCACAATACACTACACGGTCCTCACAATACACTACACGGTCCTCACAATACACTCCTCATAATGAGATAATGGGGGGCTAACAGCTATATATATGAGGAGCGCAGTGCGCACGACGCATTAGCGCTGC